CCTCAAAACCAGGCAATAAAGTGACAAAATGGTTGGGGAAGAGCTTGGCCAACTCCATCATCCTTTCTGGTTCTGCTGTCCAAATTCTCATCTGTGCCATGTGGTTGGGAATTTCTCCCCCATTTCCTGACTCTGATCTGCAGTCCCAGCCTGAAGAGATTATCGTTCAATGCAACGAAGGCTATGTCATCATGTTTTATGTTGTTCTTGGCTACATGGGCTTCCTTGCTGCAATTTGCTTCACTGTGGCTTTCCTGGCCAGGAACCTGCCTGGAGCTTTCAATGAAGCCAAGCTGATCACCTTCAGCATGCTGGTCTTCTGCAGTGTCTGGGTTTCCTTCCTCCCCACCTACCTGAGCACTAAAGGAAAATACATGGTGGCCGTGCAGGTCTTCTCCATCTTGGCCTCCGGTGCTGGACTATTGAGCTGCATCTTCTTTCCCAAGGGCTACATTATCATCCTGAGACCAGATCTAAACACTAAGGAACATCTAATGACAAAAGCAGGGGAATGATTGTGAAATTGTTTCTTAGGTTGGTAACTTCTAATTATCCATTATTATTGGTTATATATTCTTCCTTTGGATTTGCTTGACAATTTATGTTTATTAAAACTGAAGGAAATAAATATCTGAAGTTTGTTAGTTAAATGAAAATTCAGGATAATCAGCAAATATATTATTAATAAATAAGTAAGTAAGTAAACAAACAAACAAACAAATAAATATTATGTTTTTAAACTATTGGTTTTCCTCCTTTTCCTCAGCACAAATGTCAACAAATATTTGACTTAAGCAACTCTTCAAGACAGGAGATATATGAGTCATTTCCTGGGCTTTATAGTGGTGTAAGCTTGGCAGATATCTTCAAATTTAATTAGTGAGATCTGAACCTCATCTCTTTCATGGTTCTTTATGAATTGGTATTTCCATTCCCCCAGGTTATGGGTTCTACTGGGGAGAAGAGAGTAAGTGAAGATGACATGGTGTTGCAAACTCTCTCACCGGTTTTGGTGTTCCTTCTCTTTCTCCTGAGGTGCTCTTTCTCAGCAATCTCCGTTCATTTCAGCTTCAGATCAAGTTCCATCTTCTTCATGGCTTCCTCTCTCACAGCGTCCAGTTACAGCTTCTCTGGGCTGAGGTGCTGACTTCTGGTGAGGAATTTCCAGTAGCAGACATTTATTTATAGCCTGTAACTTCCTGACAGGTTTGGTATATTGGTATTCAAGTGAATTGGACTGAAGAGGATTGAGGATAAAATTCATCCTGGTCTGGTTTGGGGAATCAGTAGCTCAAACAAGCTGAGGCAGGTACAAAAAGGCCATGGGTCAACTCCCGGATTGAAATGAAAATCAACTTTACTAAAGGTGTCAAAAGAAAATACTGTAAGAATAGAATAGAATAGAATAGGATAGGATAGGATAGGATAGGAAGGGACCTTGGAGGTCTTCTAGTCCAGCCCCTTGCTCGAGCAGGAGAACCTATACCATTTCAGACAAGCGACTATCTAGTCTCCTCTTAAAAACCTCCAGTGATGGAGTGCCCACAATTTCTGGAGGCAGGCTGTTCCACTGGTGAACTGTCCTCACTGTATGGAAGTTTATCCTTAGTTCCAGGTTGCTTTTCTCTTTGATCAGTTTCCAACCGTTGTTTCTCGCCTGACCTCTGGTGCTTTGGAGAATAATTTGACCTCACCCCCTCTTTCTTATGGCAGTCCCTCAAATACTGGAATGCTGCTATCACGTCTCCCCTATTTCTTCTTCTTTTTAGACTGGCCAGACCCAAGAAAGGAAGACTGGTTGAAAATCATGCGGGGGCGGGGCCCCAAAAGAAGTGCGCACTCCACTGCGGAGCTGGCATGAAACACTCCCCCACACTGAAGCTTCAGCCCCGCCCCACCCCACACTGAAAAGATCCCCCCTGCCACTTTCCCAACTTCTCGCTCTGCTCCGAACTATCTGCCCGGAGACCGATGACGCTGCAGAAGGGAGGGTTTTCATTGGTACTTCCGCTTTTCTGATCCCTCCCAATTACGAAGTCCCAGAAAAATGCCCCCTCCCCCCATCCTCCTTACCGGGGTTTTCCTTCCCCGCTTCGCTTCCAGGGAACTGGCCAAGCGCCCCCCCCCCAGCAGCAGGGAGACCCCGGCAGAGCCCAGAGACGCCCCTAGCCCCAGAGGCGGAATCGGGGGGAGGGGTCTGGAATGGGGGCGGAGGAGGCATTTTCCTTCGACTTCAGAACTGGAAATGCCCTGAAGGAGAGGAACCAATGAGAAGTCTCCCTCCTGCAGCGTCATCGGTCTCCGGGCGGAGTCCTTTGTGACTTCACCCACCGGCAGACCAAGCGAAGACGATCTAGCGCTGCAGGGAGGCAAGTCTCCCTTCCATCCCCAGGGAGGCCGCCCTTCCCTCGCCCCCCCCCCAGAGCCCTGGCACCTTTTGGAGGGGGGAGATGGACGTGGGGGGTGAGATAGTCTGGAGGAGGGGGGAGCCGAGGGGATCAGGGCCCCGAAGAGGGAGGGAGGGAGGGAGGGAGGGAGGGGGGCGCTGGGTGCGAATGGGGCAGGGGCCTCCCTGGCTTGTGAGGGGCTCAAACCGGCTCCGATCCTGGAGAAAGAGGCCCCGGATGAAGCCAGGGAATCTCCAGCTCCAGCAGCTTCCCAGCCACGGAAGAGGCTCTCCGGGGGAAGCAGGAATTGGGGATCTCCGAGGGGTCACCTCCATCTGGCAGGGCTTGGGGAGATTGAGGAGGAGGGGGGGTCCTGCCCCTTCCACCCCCGGGGATCTGCCCACCCTCCTCCCGAACCGGTTCTGGGTTCAGACCAAAACTAGCTTGGATGGTCAATCCGGAGGCAGGGGAGGCCTCAATCTGAGGAGGGGGAGGGGAGAAGGGAGGACTCTCTGAGTGGGGCAGGAAAGAGGAGGAGGAAGAGGAAGGAAGGAAGAATTCCAGGATTTTTCGTACAATATAAATTTTATTCTTTTATAACAAAGCGAAGTGATTTGTAGGAAGAGTAATGGAGATGAAGCTGCTGTGGGTTCAGAGCTGGGAGAGATTTGGGGTTCTGGACTGACAGGCGGGCCCAGAGTCCTTGGGGTCAGTCTAGATGGTCTCCACCCCTCCCTCACAAGAAAGAGAGGCCCTCAAAGGAAGATGGGGGGGTGGCTCAGCAGGAGAAGCTCCAGGCTGCCGTTCTCTCCCCAATTTAAAATCTTGAGCCTCCATTTTTTCAGAGGTTGCGAAAAAGTCAGAAATTCATCAGCTACTGAAGAAAAAAACATCCTTTCCCATCAGGAATCAGGAAGGATGGCAGGATTAATTCATGAGTGCTGAAGAAAAAAAGAGACGAAGAAAATTAGAATATAAACCTTCAGTGTAAATAACATATTATTCTTACAGCCCCCCCCAGGAAGTCCCACACTGCAGGGGGGTGGTTGATAGGCAGGGACAGAATGAGGGAGAATCCCCCCCCCCTTTCAGGGAAGAAAAGGATACAAAGGACCAGTGATTAATCTTCTGGGCTTGATGGAATTTTCTCTAATCGACTTAATTAGGGAGTTAATAAAGAAAGGAGGCCTCCCCCCCCAGACATTTCATATGAACAAAGAAGATGGGGCCAGGATGGGGCTGGCAGCAAAGCCGGGTGTCACTTTGCCAGAAATTGTGTGAAATGTCACAAGGAGACTTCCCTTCTCTTTTGAAATTTCCCAAAACTTAAACATCCTGGAGGGATGTGTTTATGTATATGTGTTTCTTTTTTATTGCACTGCATTTGCAGGTCTATGTAAGGAAAACCTGACCAAAGTTTCAAAAATTTGTGTTATCTACAGCAAGAAGGTTTTGTTGTTGTTGTTGTTTTTAAAGTTTTTTTATTTATAATACAATTAAAACAAAAATGGACATACGTGGCATTCCAGAGTAAATATTCCTAACAATTTGTTTCTCGTGATACAAAAACTTAAAACATCATCCTTAACCTCTATATAAACCTCATTCTTCTACACAATACATTATATATACAATTATATGTACAATTATATGTATGTTTCAATCCTATCGTTAGCTTAAGATCTGAGTGGTTCTCCTTGATTCATACCAGCGGTAAAATTTGTCCCAGATTTCGAAATATTCCAGTTCTGTCTTATCTTTCATAGCCATTGTAAGCCTGTCCATCTCTGCACATGATAAAATTTTATACAGGATTTCTTCTTTGCGCCACTATTGCCATGAAAATCTTATAATCTGAATTCAAAAGAGAAATGGGTCTATAGTTCTTGATTTGCGCCAGGTCTGTATTTTCTTTAGGAATCAGAGTGAGGAAAGCTTTTTCCCAAGAAGCTGGTATTTTAGCTTGGGTTAAGACCTCATTAAATAGATCCAACAGCATTGGGCTTAAGAATTCTTGTGCAATTTTGTACATTTCTGCAGGTATACCGTCTGGCCCGGGTGCTTTATTATTCTTTTGTTTCTTAATTGCAGCCGAGAGTTCTAAATGCGTTATCTCTTTATTCAACAGAGTTTTAAATTCTTCTGGGACCTTTGGTAGGTCAGCTGATTGTAAGTACTGTACTATATCATAGTTGTTTCTCTTTTCATGGTTTTTATATAAATTCTTATAGAACTCATATGCCACTAGTTTCTTTCCTTTCTTCTGGCATAGCAAGAAGGTTTTGTTCAGGCACATTTTTTTTTAAAAAAGGACCAATTAAGGAATGTTAAAGAAACATCTATAACTTAAAATTCACCTGCAGGAGGCTGGATGGAAGTTGCTGAAAGGAGAAAAAGAACCAATCAGGACCCTTCATGGCCTGGAGGACTCAGGGGTCCCCCTCCCCATCGATAGCCCATAATAGGGTGCAGGATGCTCACAATAGTGTTATCTCAGATAACAGAATTTCCCAAGCAAATTTCCCAGGGGAGCCTCCTTGCCATCTGCTAAGCTTGCTGAGAGGCCTCCCCTGGATGGTCCCCTCCCCACAACCTCTCATCCAGCCCCCCAGACTCACCTTTCTTGCTCTTCAGGTAGAGGGAGAGCCCCATGGCAAAGAAGATCACCCCAATCAGGGCCCCCATAATCCCCGTCCAGAGTTTGATCCTGGCCGAGTTGGAGGAACGGGGTTCTGGGGAAGGAGAAGGAGCCTCCCCTGAGCAGGAGGATCAGGGCCAGCTTTCCCCCCCCAGGAGGGTCCATCCCGGCTCCCCCCAATAGGGAGGGTCTCTCCAACCTTCTCAGGGCAGGATGGGGTCCCAAGAGCAGGAGGGGAGGGGCTCACCCCATTGGACGGTGATGGGGGCCTCCAGGCTGGCGTGCCCCACCTGGCAGGTGTAGACGTCCCCCCGCTGGGGCTGGGTCTCCAGCATCACCTGGAGCTGGTAGGTCCAGTCTCCGTTCTGGAGCTCCTCCCCGAAGGCCACGCCCTCCTCCTCCGGCCGCCCGTTCTTCAGCCACCGGACCTCGATCTCCATGGGGTAGAAGCCCCTCGTGGTGCAGAGGAGGATGGTGTGTGGGGAAGCGGGGTCCAGCTTGGTGGGGGAGATGGAGACGGTGGGCTTGGCTGGAGGGGAGGAGGGGGAGGAGGGACACGGGGGGGGGAGACATAGGAGGGGCCAGAACGGGAGACCAAGTGGGTTAGTTCAGGCCAAGATCCCTTTTCACTCCTGAAAATATTACTTGTTTTGAGTCATTTCCAAAGCAAAGAGCCTTCCTTAATTCGTTTTTCCAGACCTTTGGAAGTTCACTTTTTATCCTAAAATCCCAAAGGTCCCAGAGGTGAAGGGAGCCCCTCCCCCATTCCTGGCCTTCCGGAAAGGGGTGAAAAGGGGGCTCTGGGGCTTTGCTTGGGGGGCACAGAGGAGGAGGCAGCCGTGGGGCCGGTCAGCCTCCTGAATTTTAAGGAATTTTTATCACTGGATTTTAATCATTCCTGCCTTTTAAATCTTAAATTGTATAGACTATTTTGGTAGTTTTATATTTTATGTGTACACCATGCAAAGTCCCTCTGTGAGAGAGAGAGATGGTTTTAAAAGTTAATAAGTAAATCAAGAAAGAAATATTGATTTATTAATATAAAATATATTGAAATATTATATGGCATATAGATTATATTAAAATATATCTATATACTGGGCAAGAGAGAGACACCCCCCCCAGAAAAAGTATAATATTTGGTATAATGTTCTGGAAAGAAGTTTTTCTGGGCAGGGGAAACTTTGGACCTTGGGGAGAGAAGGAAGATGATGGGAAGAAATATATTCCTTCCCTTTTGCATGTTTCATGGTCATCGTTGTAGAATTTCAAAGTTTTTAAAGGTAATTTATTTTTTAACCTTATTTTTTATACATTTTTATTTAGGGGTGATATTATATGGAACGCCATCCAGATCCCCGCTTTGAGGGAGGGGGGGCGGTTTATTTATCAATAAATACCAATGAATAAATTTCGTAGATCGGAAAGCAGAGAATACATAAGAGGCAAATCTTTATCCGGGAGAAAAGGGGGGTCCCGGCATTTCCCCCCCCCCCAAGGAACTCCCCCTCCCCCACTCACCTCTCCGGCCAACCGCGGAACCGCTCTGGGAAACCTCGTAGTTGTATCGGCAGAAACGATCCACTCCAGTCTTCTTGATCTGCAGGCGGCGCTCATCCCTGTTCCAAGCCTGGGCAAGCGCCTGCCAGGGCGCCGTGAGGGCCTCGTACTCCCCGCGGGCGCTGTCGAAGCGGAGATACTCCTGCCGGTCGTAGATGTAGCGCTCCAGGAACTGCACCCGCCGCGTCCCGTTGAGGAAGCGGCACTCGCACTTCCCCTGGTACAGGAAGTGGGCTGCGGGGGGGAGGAGGAGGAGGAAGAAGAGCGTCAGGAGGGACTCCAGGGCCCATGGTTCCCAGCCTCTCCTCGAGGAGGCACACAATCTTATTAGAGGCGGGGAGGGAAACTTGCTGCGAGAGACTGCCGTTAGGCGCCCCCTGGAGGAGGGTTGGGGAACCGTCGGTCCCAGCGGGATTCCCCCTTGATGGGGGGTCTGGAGGGGGGAGGAAAATGAGGGAGGGGAGGAGCTTCCTGAGGGACCCCCTCCTTTTCCCGAGGGTGGAAAAAGGCAGGCAGAAGTTCCTCTGGTCCAGCACTCGGCCTAACTCTGTAGGGAACGTTGGATCCCGGTGGGGCCTCTTCGCCCCCGCAAAGTGACAGGAAATACGCGGGGAGGGAAGAGACCCCCCCCCCCAGGAACTCTCTGGGCTGGAGGGACAGTAAGATCCTTTCCCTTTGGGGAAGAATATGGGGAGGGGGTCACAATAAAGATACCTACACCCATGCTCCTGGGCTCTCCCTGCCCTTCAAGCCCCCCCTTCCCTTTTCTTCTCCCCCCCCCTAATCTTCAGCCCTACTTTCTGCCTTTGCATTCTTTTCAAGGCCTTTCCTGTCCCCCTCCCAAACAGACCCCCCTGCAGCCCCCCAAGGCCACCTCCAAGGGAGGGGCTCCAGCTCCCTTCACTAAAGGGGGAGTTTGGAGGAGCAACTCAGACCCCTCCCCCAATATCCCTCCCTATAGAAGCGGAGAAGGTGAGGGAGGGGAAGATTTTCAGTCTTGGGGGCTGCAGCATCAGGGGGGTGTTCAGGATGTGTGTGGACTTCATTTTTCGCCCCCCCCCCATGACTCTCAACCACAGTCTCCCTTTCTCTTTCTGCCTGGAGGGGTGGACTAGATGCCCCTTTAAGCTCCCTTAAGGCCCCCCATGAGGAGTCCAGGCTGGGTCAGCAGAGACTTCAGAAGGGCCGAGGGGAGCCGGGGGGTCTCTCTGGAGACCCTCCCTCCTCCTGGTCTCGCTTGGCCCAAAGGGGCTTTTCCAAAAGGCAGCTGGACTTTCCTGGGTTTTCCCTTGAAGACGTTTCGCTTTTCATCCCAGAAGCTTCTTCCGTTCTGACCGAATGGTGTAGGGTGGAAACACGGACATTCCTTGCGGTCATTTGGTCATTTTGAAAATCGGTCACTGGTTCTCTGAGGGGCCTTGAGGACCTCCAGGGGTTTATCCAGGCCCTCAGAGCCCCCTGAATTGGGGAGGCAAAGGGGAGCCTTCCCGGGGCTGCTGAAATGAATCCTGTTATAGGCAGGAGATGGGGGGTCGTTTC